GATACAGTTATGCAAACACACAGCAGAAAAATTGTACAAGTAATTACATTAACTTTGACTGGCAAGATTAAAGTAGAACTGAAAATCTTAAAGCTTCAGAGATCATGCTGCAATGGCAAAGCAAGAACTTTCTGGGGTTAACTGAGGTGTTTTAGTGGTTAGGTAAAGTTACTGAAGGACCTGTGTTGATGACTTGCTTCTTCTCTGAGTCAGCCCTGATAGAAAATGACATTCATATCTAATAAAGTACATTATTCATCCCACTAATTAATTGAGCAACTTCATTTTGAGGGGATCAAAGGCCAAATATTTCAGGGTATTTAGATACCTAAGGAGGCATACAGATATCTAATGAGATTTAGGAATTCAAATACCTGGAAAAAATGGATTGTACGTCTTTTGCACCACAGAAGCAGACAACAGCCTATTAAACCAATATTCTCATACCGACTATTTCAGTTTAATTAATTCAGGTGCAATCATGGCTTCGTTAGCCTTTCTCCAATTCAAGAGCAAGGCCATTTGCAATGGCTGAAACTGGACTAATAATCAGTCAGCCTTTTCAAGTGCATAATCTGCTAATGGCATATATTATTAAACACACACAAAACCAAATAATACTCATTACTGAGAAGGAATCTTTTCAATATACTTTGTACACAAATGCAAGTGTGGGAAATATTAAATCTCTAAATAATATTTGAAAAAGTTCTTGGTAGTGAAGGATGTACATCTCTGCATTTTTCTTGTGCTAGCAGTTGAGCAAGTAAGGGACTTGTGAATGGTAATATTTTAACATTTCCATAAATTAACAGAAACCAAACAAGAAATGGAATCACAAATTTGAAAATGGCAAAGACCAGCCAGGATAAGTAATGAAAGAAAAGCCACAAAGGCTATTTGCACACTGCAGAGCTGAGATGGTTCACAGCATTTAAGAAATAACAACTGTACCAGTTTCTGTAATTTAATGATGTTGCAGGCACAACAGAGCAGTAATCAAGAATGTCTTGGCAACCTAGGTTTGTTGAGATCTTGTCAGAAAATTATTATTCACTGAAATAATTTTTGTGAGTTCTTAAAGATCAGGCTGAGAATTTTGGATGAAACTTTAGAGGAAAAAAGTGTTCCTAAGAATCAGCCTCCTGATACTTAATTCCTGAGTGGTCAAGAAGTTAACTTTAGCTATTTAAATGTTTTCACCCTTACGGTACTAAATTATGCCAGTTCAATGCTTTATAAATTTTATGTTTATAAAGTTTAAGTTTATTAAACAGAATAATTCCAATAAAAGAACATTAGAGAGGCTCAGAACACATGAAGGTATTAACACACAAATGGAAAAAGGCTTGAGTTTGAGGTTTTGCCATACTGGCTGAATACCATGAAAATTAGGTTATCCAATTTCTGACAGTGTTTGACCACCTATGATTTGTTTCCCATTGGTTTTTGATAACCCCCCCAGACCCACTAAATAAAAATAATAAAACTATCTCCTGCACCTCAAAACAATCACAACTTTTGTGAGCATCCAAAAAGCAATAGCAATACAAAACATTCAGTGATTAAGAACAGATTAAGTTGGAAGTGTTAAGTCTGAGTGAGTCCCTGAACACACAAGGATGGGAGAAGGGAAGAGGAAAGTGAAAAACAAAGGGGAAAAAGAAGGGGAAGAATTTACTTTGCCTACTTACAGACAAAATCTGTAAAACCACAGCCAAGGGTGAACTGATTGATAGCACCTAAAGTACCTCTAGGAAACTAGACATCACCTAGGGGTACAGTGGTATCCCAAAACAGCAGTTAAAATATTGCTGTTTGTGATTGCACTGCTTATCATGTGATGGAATTATTAGATATTACCTTTATGCAGTTACTTAGAAATGAACTGTAAAATGAAAACAAAACATAGTTTTTAGTTATGTACATTAACCTGCCATTTAGCAATGTCACTTCATTAAGTAAGACAGAATGGACAGCTTAATTGGTTGGAGTATGCTACACACTCCTGTGGTAAAGTTTCTTAAGAACCTCCCTTTTATCAATAAATACAATTGCAGACCATATTTTAAGATTACACCAGTAAATGAAGAAAACTGTTTGAACTTTCAACTTTAGCAACTTCTCTAATACTTTAGAGCTTTCGTGATCTATCCTTCCAATCATACAGATTAGCCTGTTACCAGAATACTGAAGAAGAAGGGAAATGGGAAATGTAAAAACAGCCTGAGTGAAAGGAATAGACCCTTAATACTTAAAAGGACACCAAAAAATCCCCCTAAAACCCTGCACTAAGCCTTCTCCCCCTCAAATCCTTCAAAAGATGCCCTGCTATCGTTTTATTTCAAAATACAACTCCTGACCATGATGGGCAATTCAAATAACTTTGAGGAAATTTCTGTCAAGCACATTGGCTTTTTCTTAATTACACCCAGCAGTATCTACACACAATCACTTGTTCTACTGGGTTTAAATACTGTGGGGCTTAAGAAATGCCTTTTGACGCATCTATTCTTCACATCCAGCTAAAACTGACTGCAAGCCTGGATGCTGCCAACTGCAGTAGTTACCTGTACAGGCACAGAATTGGCTTGTCCTAGCAAGAGCAGTAGAAATGTCTTACTGATAATCCAGTAGTATGTCACTAGAATAGTGTATGCTCAGGATCTAACAGCCCACAGGTAACTGCACTTATCACTCTCTTGGGACAGATTTATTACAGCATTTGGAAGGAGACTACTATTATTGAAACCTTCCAAATGCATTTCTCCATCATCCACATCCAAGCCCTCGAATTTCCAAAACGCTTGTACCTACTTAGGCAGGCTGCATGTGAAGATCTTGATATAACAGAAGAAAGAAAAGCTCACTTGTCTCTGTCATCTTAGTGCATAACCATGATATTGCCTTTCCCAGTACTTATTCCAACTAATTTTGTTTCAGTTAGGAGTATTATATGATTTGGGCAAAAATGCTAAATTATGATCAACGAACAGGTACAAGTAGCAGCAAATCTCTGATAGATCAACTATTACCTAGAACACAGCATTGGAAGTTGGCTTATTTATGGGAGGCAGGGAGGGAATCAGTCTTTCACACGATGCCTAAAAATCTGGAGTTTGCCTGGATGTCTCAGATAAAACCTACTTGCAGTGGGAAAATGAACTGATAGGAAGGCACAGTGTCTCATATGAAATTATGTTTTATTCAAGCATTAAAATGATGTAGAGCAACAAATCAATGTCAAAATTATCTCAAGAAAAGCCACAGCTCTACTATCATCATTAAAATTTGCAGTAATTGCACTAAACAGCCAAGCATGAGAGTAAATTCTGTATGTACAGCTTCTGCTGCAGGATTTTCAATGGTGGACTCCTCGTAATTACTTTGCTTAGTTGACAATTCCACCACAAACATTTTGGGGTATTAAATCAGTAGAGGAATTCTATAAAGTTGAAAAATAAGAAAGGGGGCGAAGAACCCACAAAAAAAGTCTAAATATGAGCTTAGAGTGCTGAAAGCTACAAAACTCAAAACAGATTTCCCACTGTTATTATTTTTGTCTTGGTACCATTGAAATTACACTGCAATCAACCCAGCTGTGTGCTATTTATAGAAAGCAAATCATTATATGCTCTTTTATGCTACAGGCAGCAGCAATGACTTTTCTTCCCCCAGTTAAGGGAGAAGGGCATTGTAATAACTTTTTACTTTGTTTCTCACTCTCCTTGATTTTATAGGATAGCTTATTTTCATTAAGTCCACAAGAAGTTTGCCTGAAAGAAAATACTTTATTGTGCATTGTAAATAACCTAAATACCAATACCTCCATATTGAGCCTTCAAGTTAGCAAATACATATATTCTATATTAATTCTCTCATCAGGACTTTTTCAGCACGTTTGGCCCATTGGCTTTGGGAAGAAAAACAAAGGGATTTATGTGCGGTGGGATTGAGGGAGCAATAACAAAAGGTGAGAAAATACGGAAAGAAAGCTTTGCAGCATCTTCTGTGCAAAGCTACCATGTTCAGGTAACAAACTTACATGGCAGTTCTGCAGAGGATAATCTAAACAAAAGCACTGCCTGGTCTTGTCACACAGGCTACCAGAGCAGAGAGCAAATTTACACTCAGCTCAGTGAAACTGAGACCATCCTCAGCTTTGCTGTTATGGACAGAGCTGAGATCTGTTACAAGACCCTGCACAACAAAAAGTCTGCCAGTTAGAAATAAACTGCATGACCTGGGACACTGCAGTGGGCCATCAGTCAGTAGTATAGGAATTTGCTGCAGACCTGGCTCTGACAACTTCTAGATACCAGTCCTGTGGGTAGGGCTCATCACTCTTAAATTTAGCCATCTAAAAAGTTAGGTATCTACTTTAAGTCAGCTGTCTAGACTCTCTTGATAACTGATGGGGAAAACGAGTATCTCCTGACAGCAATTTATGCTAATCTAAGATGGGTTTCTCAGGTGGAATGAATCAACTGCTGAAACTGCCTGTTTCTCTCCACTGAGCTAGAGCTGTAATTCAGAAGAGTAACTTAGTCTAGACACCTAACTTTTGGAAGATTGAGAGTCAGGGAAATGAATCCAACCCTATCTCTCTATTTGTCACATCACCAGGCACTATCCTATGTGAGTAAAGTGTATATTTTTAAGTGTTCTTTGGACTTAGAACTTGCTTTAAATACCATTTAATGTTTGAAACAATAACTTTTTCCCAGGTCAGTCTACTTCTCAACATTGGTGTGATGAGTCTGTGCTCTTACTGTACAAGGCCAACCACTGACATTCCATTTCCTTATAGCACTGGCTGACTTGAAGCTATACTACACCTGTAAAACAAACCGACAGTTTTTAATTATGATCTTCAAAGCTCTGATTAAGAATTTTGTCATGAACGACACAGCTCTCTCATCAGTCATTTAACAAAGCAATATATTTCCTATACATACAAACTATGAGAGACAAGGGGGAAAAATGGCAGTGACACCTACCTGCCCAAGAGTGCATTCCATGCCACCAAGAAAATCCGCTTCCTTCAGCCCATTGTGATTGCTGCTAATGTCGTGGACTTCAAACCGCAACCGCTGAACCTCTTCGAAGTAGAAGTCCACTGTGAACAGCTTGGAGAAGATGGGGTTTATACAAGTGCGAATCACTTCTGTCCTGTCAACCTGCCAAATGGAAAAGAGGTCATACGAGTGGTTTCTCTTTCTGCCAGTGATGGACTTACAATGAGCTCCTCAAGCACAGTCAGCTCATTTATCAGAACTGACAGCTGTGACTGTGGCCACAGACACTACCATTTGTATGGGCAGCAGCAGCAGCTGCCATTTCTCTGCAGGGCTGGCCACACACACAAGATAAAGCCAACTTCCCTTGCCTCTCCTTTCTAGCAAGTTTGTGGCAGTTATTGGTAGGAGCACGGGGCATAACCTGCAGCCTCCTCTGCAGGGTGAGCAGCGATGGCCCCTCCGTTGGGTATGCAGGATGAGTCTGGTGGCACAGTCAGGAGCTGTGCATAGGCAAAACAGCTGTCTTTTGTGCTGAGCTAATACATGGGAAATTAACTATAGAACAGCTATAGAATTGACATATCCAGCAGTACCCATCCATCACTACAGAGCAATACACAGTTTTATCAAACTAAATGGATAAGCAAGCAAAAATCTCAGTAATTATTCATTCTGGACAACTTGCGTGATTAAGGAGGGGAGAAGTGGATCCACAGCAAACAACTTTTCTTAAAAATATATCCATTTTTCCACACCGCTAAATTGCATTATAAGAATCTGATGGATTACACACTGCTTTTCCTTTCCTCTGAATCTTACAACTGCTAAAGAAATGCCATCAAATCTAAATTGCTATTTCTTCAAAAAGTACTCCAGGAGTACTTTCTAGTTCTCTTAAAAATGTATTTTTGAAGTAGGCCTTGGCTACTTTTCATTATGATGCATTACTGGTGACACCATAAGCAATGCAGTAATTTCCTTTTTTCCACTCTCTTTGCTCCGGGACAGAAAAAAATCCCAATAATTCTGTAAGATTAAAGGAACTGATCCTAGAATGAAGTAGGACTTGGGCATGTCATTCACTAGACAGGAGGTGGCTGGTGTGCCATGGAACAGACAAATTAAATTTCTCAGAGGAAGAGTGATGAGATCTTTTGTCTGATTCCTGATCAAGAACATCTGTTGTGCAAAAAATGACAGTGCTTGCTTCACTTTTCAGAGTTTATAATGCATTAGGCTTGCTAGTAGTTATCGGCAAGGACACAAGGAGTCAAGTAAATAAAAAAATGCGGGGGAAAAAAATGAGCAGTTCCTGGTAGAATGGTTTTATTTTAGTGCCTATCAAAGGTGTCAGATTGACAAATCTAAAGGCTGAAATCTTTTAGTTAATCATCAAACAGATGCTAGCAGTTGTAGAACAGATGCAAACCAGTGCTACCATTGCTGTCTCCTCACACAGCTGTGTCAATGTGCTCTAACTATGCCAAGATGAGACCATCACAAAAAGGAAAGCTGCCTTACTTACGAATTCAATCCTTAATCTCCTTGCTTAGACTAGCTGAAAATGATGGTTATGACAACAGTCAAAGCAAAATAAGAATGACATAAGTGAGACAAGATACCAGGTAGCTTCATTCAGGTGCTCAGCCTATCTCAATTTTGTTTTAAATCCATTTCCAATCAGTGTCCCTTGAAATTGTCATTACTGCTACAACACGAAATACTCCCTAAGTCAGATGACCAGTTAGTTCAATAGTATGTCCTTTAGATCTCTTCTAGAAGTGGAAAGTGATTCAACTTGCAGAAGTGGTCATCTCATGAAATAGTGCATCAGCAGATTCTATAATCAAAACAGTTAAATGATCAGTTTTTAATCTTTCTTCATAGCCACAGCAATCTCCTAAACTCATTCCTTGTAAGTGTATAAACTCTTAACTTGATGGCATAATTTCAGTTGCTTCATTGGTACAGCAGATCTCCTCAGGTAGTAACTGACATTTCTCAGTTATTGTTTCTCCTTATCTCTACTTTGCTGCTGGAGTACAGGGAAATGGTTCTCCACTGTGAAATGCAGCAAGATTCACACTTGTGCTCAATACAGCTTAAATATGTGGCTAATCAAGGGAGTGAAGCACCTGAAAATGGAGACACGGGTCTGCGCACATGGGCATTAAGAATTTCAGTCTCACATAATAGTAAGACACTGTTTGCTTTTTCCAGCCTATGATGGACTGACATCCTTCCCTTGGCAGACACAGTACTGATATACAGCCATTTCACGGAATTTTCCCAGTATTCCCACATTACTGAGATGATACATCAAACCAGTAGGTCAGAGCACATGATTACATGAGAAAAAACTATATCGAAAGCAGCAATGCCAACAGCACCACAAGTGATATAAAATCCTTCACGCCTCTCGGCAGTCAGCAGCAAGTAATAGCATTAACCCTATTAGTCTACTTTGTCTCCAGTCTGCATTGTCAGCATATCTCACACTTACTCTACTCTTTGGCTGGAAAGCCTGGAATGATCCTCAGCTTAGGAAGCCTGACTCTACTCCCTATTTGATTACTGAGCAGCAGGGCTAAGCTCTCGTGACCAACTGGTGTGATCATCCAAAGAAGCAGTGGTGAAGAGAACAGTTCAATAAATTCACTGGCTCCCATGAAATGCCCTAGATTAAAAAATGCTATATAAACACAAGGTAGAATCTCCACTTGACTTCTGCCACTCACTAGAGGCTAGTTTTTCTTGAGTATTCCTGCTGCTGTACTCAATTGTAAAGGTTTAAGGCTCTTTTTAGAAATACTTGGTGAGCATGAAAACTGGTGAGAATACTATTGCTAGGTGCAGTTTCATGCTGATAATCATCAAGGAAGTCACGATCTACAGTGCTACAGATACTTTGAAAAGAAAGGCTGACTTGTTTTTGACCACGACTTCTCCCAATACCTGCAGAATCAATTTCATTTTAAACAAAATCTGGTATCAAGCGTCCTGTTAACCTAAAACATACATCCACAGCAGTCTGACAAGATGTCAACCTCATACCATGTGTCCTTAATCCCACTGTCACCCAAAATCAGCAACAGCAAATCCACATGCATGGGTGATGGAAGCTCAAATGCTTGAAGAAAATAGTTTGGCTTTGTCCAGCCTCATCAACTAGACATTCAGAAAGTTAAAACTCAGCTTAAATGCTCTCTGAAATACAACAAACAACACCAGCAACCACATTAAATCTCTGTTACTTTTGCAGAAGAGATAATTTAAGTCCAATGACAGCATGTTATAAGCAAGTGGAACTTAGACTTTTGGTCCTGTTACAGAAAATACCAAACTCTCGGGCAACCCAATCCTGAAGGCAGGTAGATTTCTTAACAGGACATGGACAGGGGTCATGCCCACAGTTTTAGTATTTGCTGATGCCTGACATATGAGCCATCTGTTATTTCTGGACTTTGCTAAAACAAGGTATTTCTCCAATTTATTAAAGCAGAATGAATTTTCAGAAGAAACTACCGACAGCTACACGTACCTCTGGGCTGTGCCAACAGTTAAAATTGACCTTAAAAAGAGCAATGCTTCAGCTGACAACACAATATGAACATCTGCTTCATGGTACAGCTTTACCTGTGCTTTCCCTTCAAGGACAATTTATACAGAGAAAAGAACCAGTATCTTCACCTCCTGGGATGGACTCACGCTGCTTTCCCTCTTCATCTCTTTAGGCCCTTGTCACTCCACAGAAGGTGGCACCCTGCTGAGCAGGCAGGATTACTGAGCAGGCCCATCTGGATGCAGCCACCCTGTGAGCCTCCCCTTGGGAAACCATGAGTGACATGCAAACACCAAAGTAGTTCTCCACAGTGTAAAGCACCATCTCAACAGCAGGCATTAAAATACAGGAAAGAAAAGGACTTCTTGCTTTGGGCCTTCTGAATCCTCTTGTTAAACCCAGAGGAGGTTGGAATCTGGGTTTGAAAGCTGTTTTCTCTCTGTACTACTCACCATGGATGGACAGTTAGCAGAAATGTTTGTCTTTTCCTGTTGACGCAACACCACTGCTGAAGAACTGCAAAACCATGTCTGCAGTCAACATCAAATTAAAGGAACCTCCAAAGACAGATGAACAAATAGTAAAATTCAGGCTCCTTACCCTGTTTGCATATTTTGTCTGTGAGCTACTGAAAAGCAGTGAGCTTTGCAGAAATGTGATCAACATGGTAAATTCAGTAGGGACAGTTCTTCAACGTAGCTAAAATTTCACAAAGAAGTAATTCAATGGCTAAGGTACAGGCTGAAGGTCTCCTCTCAATCTTCCACCATTAGTTGAAAAGTGAAGCAGAGGAAAAAGAGCCTGCCTGAGGGTTGTGGGGTTTTTTTTGTCTATCCCACTTAGGTGAAGTATAAGCTATTGAATATTCAAGTATGAACAAGGTTTAGGTAGAAGCTTACTGTCACTTGGTATCTAAGGCCTTGAAGTGATCATAAACACAGCTTTCTCAGCACACCCCTGGAAACCATGGAAATGGAGAATTATCCACAGGACCTGAAGCTCTGCACCCAAATTCACACTTCAGCATTCAGCACAGATCAGCTGCGCAGCGAACCGAAGTGTCCCACACAGATACCTGGTACTTATCTGCTTGCTGTTGTATTTCAAGCAACATGTAACTAGCACAAAACCAACCCATTTTCAGAGGTTGTTACTTGGTGTCTTTGAGGTGAAGAGCAGCCAAGAGCAAAAGGTCTGTGGAGAATTCACTGTCTTCTCGCCAAAAGGGCAGTTCTCTGGGGGAAATTTTAATCAGGCTCATCAAATCACTATAGTCAATAATGACACAACTGTCTCATTAACTAAGGAAATCTTTGGCCTACTAAAAAAATGGTCTGAAATTTTATAGCAGCTTAAAAAAAAGAAAAACCTAGTAGAAAAGCCATAAACATGTAAATTCCATTAAATAGAGCAGGTGCTGCTATCCAGCCCAAAGCAAGCTTTTTGTGGCTGCTACATTTTTAGCAAGTTCTTAGACCAAAAAATAAAATCCACTCATCCCTAAACATTTTACAAGCCAACAAGGGAAAACCAGCAGGCTGTATTTTCAGTATAAGTCATTATAAAATGCTGATTAAATCTAGAAGAATCCCATTTG